GAAAAATGGTGAATTGGGCGATAAATCTGCCGTGGCAAGAGGCTGTTTGGGTAAGAAAGGGGGGCGAGAGAGAGTAGGGGGGGTGTGGGTTGAAGTGGGAAGCTGAGTGTTGGACAAGAAGGGTTAAAGTAACTAGGAAACCAATCTACTAGTTAACGACCACAACCAGTTAAGGCTTTAGCTGGTTAATAAAATCCTTCCACCACCTAATGAAGGCCGGCACGAGTGGGTGGTGGGTGGCCAGCAACCACGCCCGGCCGCCTTTGTCTTCCCCCCTCCCCCCCCCCAGTGGTGATTGATTACTACTCGCCACAGCACCAGCTACTCATTTAAGGCCGAGTCGACCTAGGGGGGGAGGCCCCTTGACCGGTTCGGGCAATGGTCACCGGTGGTGTTGGCCTGGGTTCGTGGCGCTGACCGCTACACCCACCGCTCCTCCCCCCACCGGCAGCTGACCAATCAGAGCATCGTCTACTCGAACCCCTTCTACCACGTGCCCGTGGGCGGGCTGGAGGGCGACGAGGCGTTCAACTTCTCGGTGGAGTGCGACTACCCAAGGTGAGGGGACGAGACTCCTCCCACTCCTCCTACACCAACCAATAGGGAGCTCTCCGGGAGCCCCCCCCTACATTGTCACGCCCCCCTACATTGTCACGCCTCCCTCCCACACTGCCACGCCTCCCCCCCGCATTGCCACGCCTCCCCCCCGCACTGTCACGCCTCCCCCCCGCATTGCCACGCCTCCCCCCCGCATTGCCACGCCTCCCCCCCGCATTGCCACGCCTCCCCCACGCATTGCCACGCCTCCCCCCCGCATTGCCACGCCTCCCTCCCACACTGTCACGCCTCCCCCCCGCATTGTCACGCCTCCCCCCCCGCATTGCCACGCCTCCCCCCCGCATTGCCACGCCTCCCCCCCCGCATTGCCACGCCTCCCCCCCGCATTGCCACGCCTCCCCCCCCCCCCGCATTGCCACGCCTCCCCCCCCCCCCGCATTGCCACGCCTCCCCCCCCGCATTGCCACGCCTCCCCCCCACATTGCCACGCCTTCCCCCCACATTGCCACGCCTTCCCCCCACATTGCCACGCCCCCTCCCCATGGTGGTGTGTGTGTGTGCTGTGTGCATGGTGGTTGCCACCACCACCACCACCGCTACCGCCGCCCGGCCAGGCGAGGCTCCGTGAGCTTCGAGAAGGATCTGCTGCCCCAGCAGGAGGACTTCTCTGACCTCCTAGAGGCCGTGGGCTCCTTCAACTTCTCCCTCACCATCATGGACGGTGAGGCACACGCTTGCTGGTGGCTCGGATGGTTGCGGTAGTTCTGGTGGTGGTGCTGGTGGTGCTGGTGGATCTGGTGGTGGTGGTGGCTATGGTGGTGGTGGTGGCTATGGTGGTGGTGGTGGCTATGGTGGTGGTGGTGGCTATGGTGGTGGTGGTTCTGGTGGTGGTGGTGGTTCTGGTGGTGGTGGTGGTTCTGGTGGTGGTGGTGGCTCTGGTGGTGGTGGTGGCTCTGGTGGTGGTGGTGGTGGCTCTGGTGGTGGTGGCTCTGGTGGTGGTGGCTATGGTGGTGGTGGTGGCTCTGATGGTGGTGGTGGTGGCTCTGATGGTGGTGGTGGCTCTGGTGGTGGTGGTGGTTGCTCTGGTGGTGGTGGTTGCTCTGGTGGAGGTGGTGGTTGCTCTGGTGGAGGTGGTGGTGGCTCTGATGGTGGTGGTGGTGGCTCTGGTGGTGGTGGTGGTGGCTCTGGTGGTGGTGGTGGTGGCTCTGGTGGTGGTGGTGGTGGCTCTGGTGGAGGTGGTGGTGGCTCTGGTGGAGGTGGTGGTGGCTCTGATGGTGGTGGTGGTGGCTCTGATGGTGGTGGTGGCGGCTCTGATGGTGGTGGTGGTGGCTCTGATGGTGGCTCTGGTGGTGGTGGTTCTGGCGGTGGTGCATCTCCCAGTCATCTCAGTGGGTGACCCGTGTCACGTGCTGCAGGATCTCTCCCTTGACCTTCCTACCAGCGGGGCGGGGTCAGTTGGACACTTCACGTGGCCTCAACGTGCACGTAGCCTGGCACAGGCACCGTGGTGACGTCACCACCACTTGGTGGCGACTGGCGGTTGTTGTGACGTCATATTTGAGGGGGCGGAGGGGGGGGTCAAAAATCGCGTGACGTCATTTATGAACGGGCCCCCCCCACCCCCCCCTAGCCTCTGCACCAGTGTCGAAGCATAGAACGACGCCTAAAGGTGGCGACCAGTACAAGGGCAGTGCCACCACGTGGAGCAGCAGCTGCACCACGTGGTACATTTAGCGCCAGCATCAAAGTGTAAATAAGTATAATGTTTAAAAAACAAAAAGCACGCTTTAATGCAACGTGCCGTACGAGTAATGGCAGAACTCCACCACGACCCCAGGAAGTGACCCCGAAGCTCGCCACGTCGTAAGGGGACCGTGGCCAATCACAGCCAACGTGAGTTGGGCGTGGACAAATTAGAGCCAAGCCGAAACATAAGATGTAAAAAAAATATTGTTTAAAAATATTTATTTTATGTTTTACGATAGAATCTAGTATTGTCATCAGTGTGACATGAGTCTACCAAGTATGCAGTCGATACCACATTGGGAAGTGGGTTAACATTGAGTTACAAGATTTGAGGATTCAACAACAACAACAACAGATTGAGTGCGTTAATAAAAAGCGTGTAAAAGATTGTTTAAAAGTTTTATATTTTTTTTATTTTAATGATGTAATCTAGTATTGTCATCAGTGTGACATAATTATACCAAGTTTTCAGTCGATACCACATTGGGATGTGGGTTACAACTGAGTTACAAGATTTGAGGATACAACAACAACAACAGACAGCGAGTTAAATTAAAGTGTGTAAGACAATTAGACCCAAGGCAAAACATAACACATAAAAATGAATGTTTAAAAATATTAATATTTTTTACGATGTAATCTAGTATTGTCATCAATGTGACATTAGTATACCAGTCGATGCCACATTGGGAAGTGGTGGTACTGCATTCGATGGCGCGATGGGTCTCAAAGGTCCGGTCTACCGTCATCAAGAGCCTTGTGGGTCTCTGTACGGTGAGCCTATGGGTCTCTAGATGAGTTCGTGGGTCTCTGTACGGTGAGCCTATGGGTCTCTAGATCAGTTCGTGGGTCTCTGTATGGTGAGCCTATGGGTCTCTAGATCAGTTTGTGGGTCTCTGTACGGTGAGCCTATGGGTCTCTAGGTCAGTTTGTGGGTCTCTGTACGGTGAGCCTATGGGTCTCTAGGTCAGTTTGTGGGTCTCTGTACGGTGAGCCTATGGGTCTCTAGGTCAGTTTGTGGGTCTCTGTACGGTGAGCCTATGGGTCTCTAGACAAGTTTGTGGGTCTCTGTACGGTGAGCCTATGGGTCTCTAGATCCGTTTGTGGGTCTCTGTACGGTGAGCCTATGGGTCTCTAGATCAGTTCGTGGGTCTCTGTACAGTGAGCCTATGGGTCTCTAGATCAGTTCGTGGGTCTCTGTACGGTGAGCCTATGGGTCTCTAGATCAGTTCGTGGGTCTCTGTACGGTGAGCCTATGGGTCTCTAGATCAGTGTGTGGGTCTCTGTACGGTGAGCCTATGGGTCTCTAGATCAGTGTGTGGGTCTCTGTACGGTGAGCCTATGGGTCTCTAGATCCGTTTGTGTGTCTCTGTACGGTGAGCCTATGGGTCTCCTAGATGAGTTTGTGGGTCTCTGTACGGTGAGCCTATGGGTCTCTAGGTCAGTTTGTGGGTCTCTGTACGGTGAGCCTATGGGTCTCTAGACCAGTTTGTGGGTCTCTGTACGGTGAGCCTATGGGTCTCTAGACCAGTTTGTGGGTCTCTGTACGGTGAGCCTATGGGTCTCTAGACCAGTTTGTGGGTCTCTGTACGGTGAGCCTATGGGTCTCTAGACCAGTTTGTGGGTCTCTGTACGGTGAGCCTATGGGTCTCTAGACCAGTTTGTGGGTCTCTGTACGGTGAGCCTATGGGTCTCTAGATCCGTTTGTGGGTCTCTGTACGGTGAGCCTATGGGTGTCTAGACCAGTTTGTGGGTCTCTGTACGGTGAGCCTATGGGTCTCTAGACCAGTTTGTGGGTCTCTGTACGGTGAGCCTATGGGTCTCTAGACCAGTTTGGGTCTCTGTACGGTGAGCCTATGGGTCTCTAGATCCGTTTGTGGGTCTCTGTACGGTGAGCCTATGGGTCTCTAGACCAGTTTGTGGGTCTCTGTACGGTGAGCCTATGGGTCTCTAGACCAGTTTGTGGGTCTCTGTACGGTGAGCCTATGGGTCTGTAGATCAGTTTGTGGGTCTCTGTACGGTGAGCCTATGGGTCTCTAGATCCGTTTGTGTGTCTCTGTACGGTGAGCCTATGGGTCTCCTAGATGAGTTTGTGGGTCTCTGTACGGTGAGCCTATGGGTCTCTAGGTCAGTTTGTGGGTCTCTGTACGGTGAGCCTATGGGTCTCTAGACCAGTTTGTGGGTCTCTGTACGGTGAGCCTATGGGTCTCTAGACCAGTTTGTGGGTCTCTGTACGGTGAGCCTATGGGTCTCTAGACCAGTTTGTGGGTCTCTGTACGGTGAGCCTATGGGTCTCTAGACCAGTTTGTGGGTCTCTGTACGGTGAGCCTATGGGTCTCTAGACCAGTTTGTGGGTCTCTGTACGGTGAGCCTATGGGTCTCTAGATCCGTTTGTGGGTCTCTGTACGGTGAGCCTATGGGTCTCTAGACCAGTTTGTGGGTCTCTGTACGGTGAGCCTATGGGTCTCTAGACCAGTTTGTGGGTCTCTGTACGGTGAGCCTATGGGTCTCTAGATCCGTTTGTGGGTCTCTGTACGGTGAGCCTATGGGTCTCTAGACCAGTTTGTGGGTCTCTGTACGGTGAGCCTATGGGTCTCTAGACCAGTTTGTGGGTCTCTGTACGGTGAGTCTATGGGTCTCTAGACCAGTTTGTGGGTCTCTGTACGGTGAGCCTATGGGTCTCTAGACCAGTTTGTGGGTCTCTGTACGGTGAGCCTGTGGGTCTCTGTACGGTGAGCCTATGGGTCTCTAGATCAGTTTGTGGGTCTCTGTTCGGTGAGTCTATGGGTCTCTAGACCAGTTTGTGGGTCTGCCTCTCTGTGCGGTTTCTAGGGGTAACACGGTGGCTATGAGATGTTAACTATCTCGCAAGGTATACAGGAGGCAGTGGCTTCGACTCTGATGCCTGCTGCTGTATATTTGGAGTCTGCGTCTTTTTCGTAATCACGGTGGCTATGAGATGTTAACTACCTGGCCTGGCATACAGACTGCAGGAGGGGGGAATCTGAAGGGCTATGAAGCTCTTTATTTCTATTTTTTAAACGGTCGTCCAGTATCGTGCACGGTGACTCCGCGTGGGGGTTGGGGGGGGGCTTCTGTAGTTTTGCAATAGGCATAGTCGCTTCTGAAAGGGCTACGTAGCTCAGATGGGGGCGTCGCTCTGGTATGAAATGATAAAAATCGGTGTAGTTTGTAGATGTAGTAGTCTTAGTCTGTAGTTGTAGTAGTTTGTGGTCATAGTAGTAGCTTGTAGTAGTAACTGTAGTTTGTATGTTGTAGTTGTAGAAGATGTAGTAGTTGTAGTTTGTAGGTGTAGTTTGTAGTAGTTGTAGTAGTTGTTTGTAGTTGTAGATGTAGTAGTTGTAGTTTGTTGTAGTAGTTGTTGTAGTAGCTGTAGTAGCTGTAGTAGCTGTAGTAGTTGTAGTTTGTAGCTGTAGTAGTAGCTTGTAGTAGTTTGTAGATGTAGTAGTAGCTGTAGTAGTAGTAATAATAGCTGTAGTTTGTAGTTGTTGTAGTAGTAGTGTGTATGTTGTAGTACTAGCTGTAGTAGTAATAATAGCTGTAGTTTGTAGTTGTAGTAGTAGTGTGTATATGTTGTAGTACTAGCTGTAGTTGTAATAATATCTGTAGTTTGTAGATGTTGTAGTTTGTTGTAGTAGTAGCTGTAGTTTGTAAATGTAGTTGTAATAATATCTGTAGTTTGTAGCTGTTGTAGTAGTTGTAATAATATCTGTAGTTTGTAGATGTTGTAGTTTGTTGTAGTAGTAGCTGTAGTTTGTAGATGTTGTAATAATATCTGTGGTTTGTAGATGTTGTAATAATATCTGTAGTTTGTAAATGTAGTTGTAATAATATCTGTAGTTTGTAAATGTAGTTGTAATAATATCTGTAGTTTGTAGATGTTGTAGTAGTAGCTGTAGTAGTTGTAATAATATCTGTAGTTTGTAGATGTTGTAGTTTGTTGTAGTAGTAGCTGTAGTTTGTAAATGTAGTTGTAATAATATCTGTGGTTTGTAGATGTTGTAGTTTGTTGTAGTAGCTGTAGTAGTTGTAATAATATCTGTAGTGTGTAGATGTTGTAGTAGTAGCTGTAGTTTGTAGATGTAATAATATCTGTAGTTTGTAGATGTTGTAGTAGTAGCTGTAGTTTGTAGATGTAGTTGTAATAATATCTGTAGTTTGTAGATGTTGTAGTAGTAGCTGTAGTTGTAATAATATCTGTAGTTTGTAGTTGTAGTAGTAGCTGTAGTTGTAATAATATCTGTAGTTTGTAGATGTAGTAGTAGCTGTAGTTGTAATAATATCTGTAGTTTGTAGATGTAGTAGTAGCTGTAGTTGTAATAATATCTGTAGTTTGTAGATGTAGTAGTAGCTGTAGTTGTAATAATATCTGTAGTTTGTAGATGTAGTAGTAGCTGTAGTTGTAATAATATCTGTAGTTTGTAGATGTAGTAGTAGCTGTAGTTGTAATAATATCTGTAGTTTGTAGATGTTGTAGTAGTAGCTGTAGTAGTTGTAATAATATCTGTAGTTTGTAGATGTTGTAGTAGTAGCTGTAGTAGTTGTAATAATGTCTGTAGTTTGTATATGTAGTTGTAATAATATCTGTAGTTTGTAGATGTAGTTGTAATAATATCTGTAGTTTGTAGATGTAGTTGTAATAATATCTGTAGTTTGTAGATGTAGTTGTAATAATATCTGTAGTTTGTAGATGTTGTAGTAGTAGCTGTAGTAGTTGTAATAATATCTGTAGTTTGTAGATGTTGTAGTAGTAGTTGTAATAATATCTGTAGTGTGTAGATGTTGTAGTTTGTTGTAGTAGTAGCTGTAGTTTGTAGATGTTGTTGTAATAATATCTGTAGTTTGTAGATGTAGTAGTAGCTGTAGTAGTAATAATATCTGTAGTTTGTAGATGTAGTAGTAGCTGTAGTAGTTGTAATAATATCTGTAGTGTGTAGATGTTGTAGTAGTAGCTGTAGTAGTTGTAATAATATCTGTAGTTTGTAGATGTAGTTGTAATAATATCTGTAGTTTGTAGATGTAGTAGTAGCTGTAGTTGTAATAATATCTGTAGTTTGTAGATGTAGTAGTAGCTGTAGTAGTTGTAATAATATCTGTAGTTTGTAGATGTAGTTGTAATAATATCTGTAGTTTGTAGATGTAGTAGTAGGTGTAGTTGTAATAATATCTGTAGTTTGTATATGTAGTTGTAATAATATATGTAGTTGTAATAATATCTGTAGTTTGTAGATGTTGTAGTAGTAGCTGTAGTAGTTGTAATAATATCTGTAGTTTGTAGATGTTGTAGTAGTAGCTGTAGTTGTAATAATATCTGTAGTGTGTAGATGTTGTAGTTTGTTGTAGTAGTAGCTGTAGTTTGTAGATGTTGTTGTAATAATATCTGTAGTTTGTAGATGTAGTAGTAGCTGTAGTTGTAATAATATCTGTAGTTTGTAGATGTTGTAGTAGTAGTTGTAATAATATCTGTAGTTTGTAGATGTAGTTGTAATAATATCTGTAGTTTGTAGATGTTGTAGTAGTAGTTGTAATAATATCTGTAGTTTGTATATGTAGTTGTAATAATATCTGTAGTTTGTATATGTAGTTGTAATAATATCTGTAGTTTGTAGATGTTGTTGTAATAATATCTGTAGTTTGTATATGTAGTTGTAATAATATCTGTAGTTTGTAGATGTTGTTGTAATAATATCTGTAGTTTGTAGATGTAGTAGTAGCTGTAGTTGTAATAATATCTGTAGTTTGTAGATGTTGTAGTAGTAGTTGTAATAATATCTGTAGTTTGTAGATGTAGTTGTAATAATATCTGTAGTTTGTAGATGTTGTAGTAGTAGTTGTAATAATATCTGTAGTTTGTATATGTAGTTGTAATAATATCTGTAGTTTGTATATGTAGTTGTAATAATATCTGTAGTTTGCAGATGTAGTTGTAATAATATCTGTAGTTTGTAGTCGTTGTGGGTCTGTGGCCCAGGGCGTGTCCAGGCTGGGCACCAGCGGTCAAGGGCTTCGGAGGGACCGGCGGCCCACGTGGCGAACCCCCACGTGACCTCCCACACCCCCCACGTGACGAACGCCCCCCCCCTCCCCCCCCCCCCCCCGTGCCCCCCACAGAGGAGTGGCAGCAGCCACGAAGCTCCGCCACCTTCCTGCTGGGCGGAGCGGTGAACTTGGAGGCGCGCGTCCAGTCCGTCGGGGGGGGGCACCTCCCCCTGCGCCTCTTCATCGACTCGTGCATCGCCACGCCTGGCGGGGGGCCCCAGGGTGGGGGGCAGGAGGGGGGCCAAGGGGGGGGAGGCGGTGACCTGGAGTACGCACTGGTGGAACAGCACGGGTGTGTGTCGTGTGTTGTGTGTGTGTCTTGTGTGTGTGTGTGTGGTGTGTGTCTTGTGGTGTGTGTGGTGTGTGTTGTGTGTGTTGTGTGTGTTGTGTGTGTTGTGTCTTGTCTCGTCTCGTGTGGGGGGTGGTGTGTCTCCTCTTGTGTGTGGGGGGGTGGTGTGTCTCGTCTTGTGTGGGGGGTGGTGTGTCTCGTCTTGTGTGTGGGGGTGGTGGTGTGTCTCGTCTTGTGTGTGGGGGGTGGTGTGTCTCGTCTTGTGTGTGGGGGGGGGTGGTGTGTCTCATCTTGTGTGTGGGGGTGGTGTGTCTCGTCTTGTGTGTGGGGGGTGGTGTGTCTCGTCTTGTGTGTGGGGGGGGTGGTGTGTCTCGTCTTGTGTGTGGGGGGGTGGTGTGTCTCGTCTTGTGTGTGGGGGGGTGGTGTGTCTCGTCTTGTGTGTGGGGGGTGGTGTGTCTCGTCTTGTGTGTGGGGGTGGTGTGTCTCGTCTTGTGTGTGGGGGGTGGTGTGTCTCGTCTTGTGTGGGGGGGTGGTGTGTCTCGTCTTGTGTGTGGGGGGGGTGGTGTGTCTCGTCTTGTGTGTGGGGGGGTGGTGTGTCTCGTCTTGTGTGGGGGGGGTGGTGTGTCTCGTCTTGTGTGGGGGGGGGTGGTGTGTCTCGTGTGTGTGTGGGGGGGTGGTGTGTCTCGTCTTGTGTGGGGGGGGGTGGTGTGTCTCGTCTTGTGTGTGGGGGGTGGTGTGTCTCGTCTTGTGTGTGGGGGGGGTGGTGTGTCTCGTCTTGTGTGGGTGGGGGGTGGTGTGTCTCGTCTTGTGTGTGGGGGGGTGGTGTGTCTCGTCTTGTGTGTGGGGGGGTGGTGTGTCTCGTCTTGTGTGTGGGGGGTGGTGTGTCTCGTCTTGTGTGTGGGGGGTGGTGTGTCTCGTCTTGTGTGGGGGGTGGTGTGTCTCGTCTTGGTGTTGGGGGTGGTGTGTCTCGTCTTGTGTGGGGGGTGGTGTGTCTCGTCTTGTGTGGGGGGGGTGGTGTGTCTCGTCTTGTGTGTGGGGGGTGGTGTGTCCTCGTCTTGTGTGTGGGGGGGTGGTGTGTCTCGTCTTGTGTGTGTGTGGGGGTGGTGTGTCTCGTCTTGTGTGTGGGGGTGGTGTGTCTCGTCTTGTGTGTGGGGGGTGGTGTGTCTCCTCTTGTGTGTGGGGGGTGGTGTGTCTCGTCTTGTGTGGGGGGTGGTGTGTCTCGTCTTGTGTGTGGGGTGGTGGTGTGTCTCGTCTGTGTGTGGGGGGTGGTGTGTCTCGTCTTGTGTGTGGGGGGGGGTGGTGTGGTCTCATCTTGTGTGTGGGGGGTGGTGTGTCTCGTCTTGTGTGTGGGGGGTGGTGTGTCTCGTCTTGTGTGTGGGGGGGTGGTGTGTCTCGTCTTGTGTGTGGGGGGGTGGTGTGTCTCGTCTTGTGTGTGGGGGGGTGGTGTGTCTCGTCTTGTGTGTGGGGGGTGGTGTGTCTCGTCTTGTGTGTGGGGGGTGGTGTGTCTCGTCTTGTGTGTGGGGGGTGGTGTGTCTCGTCTTGTGTGGGGGGGTGGTGTGTCTCGTCTTGTGTGTGGGGGGGGTGGTGTGTCTCGTCTTGTGTGTGGGGGGTGGTGTGTCTCGTCTTGTGTGGGGGGGGTGGTGTGTCTCGTCTTGTGTGGGGGGGGGGTGGTGTGTCTCGTGTGTGTGTGGGGGGGTGGTGTGTCTCGTCTTGTGTGTGGGGGGTGGTGTGTCTCGTCTTGTGTGTGGGGGTGGTGTGTCTCGTCTTGTGTGTGGGGGGGGTGGTGTGTCTCGTCTTGTGTGTGGGGGGTGGTGTGTCTCGTCTTGTGTGGGGGTAGTGGGTGTCTCAGTCTGTGTGTGGGGGGGTCGTGTGTCTAGTATTGTGTGTGGGGGGGTGGTGTGTCTCGTCTTGTGTGTGGGGGGGTGGTGTGTCTCGTCTTGTGTGTGTGGGGGGGGTGTGTCTCGTTCTTGTGTGTGTGGGGTGGTGTGTATAGTATTGTGTGGGGGTGGTGTGTGTATCGTCTTGTGTGGGTGGGGGTGGTGTGTCTAGTATTGTGTGTGGGGGGTGGTGTGTACTTAGTCTTGTGTGTGGGGGGTGGTGTGTATAGTCTTGGTGTGGGGGGTGTGGTGTGTCTCGTATTGTGTGGTGGGGGGTGGTGTGTATCGTATTGTGTGTGGGGGGGTGGTGTGTCATAGTATTGTCTTGTGGGGGGGGTGGTGTGTCTCGTCTTGTGTGTGGGGGGTTGGTGTGTATAGTATTGTGTGTGGGGGGTGGTGTGTATAGTCTTGTGTGTGGGGGGTGGTGTGTCTCTTCTTGTGTGTGGGGGGTGGTGTGTCTCGTCTCGTGTGGGGGTGGTGTCTCGTCTGTGTGTGTGTGGGGGGTGGTGTGTCTCGTCTTGTGTGTGGGGGGTGGTGTGTCTCGTCTTGTGGTGTGGGGGGGTGTGTGTCTCGTCTTGTGTGTGGGGGGGTGGTGTGTCCTCGTCTTGTGTGTGGGGGGTTGGTGTGTCTCGTCTTGTGTGGGGGGGTGTGGGGGGGGTGGTGTGGTCTCGTCTTGTGTGGGGGGGGGTGGTGTGTCTCGTCCTTGTGTGTGGGGGTGGTGTGTCTCGTCTTGTGTGTGGGGGTGGTGTGTCTCGTCCTTGTGTGGGGGGGGTGGTGTGTCTCGTCTTGTGTGGGGGGGTGGTGTGTCTCGTCTTGTGTGGGGGGGGGGGTTGGTGTGTCCTCGTCTTGTGTGTGGGGGGGTGGTGTGTCTCGTCTTGTGTGTGGGGGGTGGTGTGTGTCGTCTTGTGTGTGGGGGGTGGTGTGTCCTCGTCTTGTGTGTGGGGGGTGGTGTGTCTCGTCTTGTGTGTGTGGGGGGTGGTGTGTCTCGTCTTGTGTGTGGGGGGGTGGTGTTTGTGTGGGGGGTGGGTGGGTCTCGTCTTGTGTGTGGGGGGTGGTGTGTCTCGTCTTGTGTGTGGGGGGTGGTGTGTCTCGTCTTGTGTGGGGGGGGTGGTGTGTCTCAGTCCTTGTGTGTGGGGGGGTGGTGTGTCCTCGTCTTGTGTGTGGGGGGTGGTGTGTCTCGTCTTGTGTGTGGGGGGGGGTGTGTCTCGTCTTGTGTGTGGGGGGGTGGTGTGTCTCGTCTTGTGTGTGGGGGGGTGGTGTGTCTCGTCTTGTGTGTGGGGGGGTGGTGTGTCTCGTCTTGTGTGTGGGGGGGTGGTGTGTCTCGTCTTGTGTGTGGGGGGGTGGTTGTGTCTCGTCTTGTGTGTGGGGGTGGTGTGTCTCGTCTGTGTGTGTGGGGGGTGTGTCTCGTCTTGTGTGTGGGGGGGTGGTGTGTCTCGTCTTGTGTGGGGGGGTGGGTGTGTCTCGTCTTGTGTGTGGGGGGGTGGTGTGTCTCGTCTTGTGTGGGGGGGGTGGTGTGTCTCGTCTTGTGTGTGGGGGGTGGTGTGTCTTGTGTGTGGGGGGGGTGGTGTGTCTCGTCTTGTGTGTGGGGGGTGGTGTGTCTTGTGTGGGGGGGGTGTGTCCTCGTCTTGTGTGTGGGGGGGTGGTGTGTCTCGTCGGTGTGGGTGGGTGTGTCTCGTCTTGTGTGTGGGGGTGGGTGTGTCTCGTCTTGGTGTGTGGGGGTGGTGTGTCTCGTCTTGTGTGGGGGGGTGGTGTGTCTCGTCTTGTGTGTGGGGGGTGGTGTGTCTCGTCTTGTGTGTGGGGGGGTGGTGTGTCTCGTCTTGTGTGTGTGGGGGGTGGTGTGTCTCGTCTTGTGTGTGGGGGGGTGGTGTGTCCTCGTCTTGTGTGGGGGGGGTGGTGTGTCTCGTCTTGTGTGTGGGGGTGTGGTGTGTCCTCGTCTTGTGTGTGGGGGGGTGGTGTGTATAGTATTGTGTGTGGGGGGGTGGTGTGTCTAGTCTTGTGTGTGGGGGGGTGGTGTGTATAGTCTTGTGTGTGGGGGGGTGGTGTGTCTAGTCTTGTGTGTGGGGGGTGGTGTGTATAGTCTTGTGTGTGGGGGGTGGTGTGTCTCGTCTTGTGTGTGGGGGGGTGGTGTGTATAGTATTGTGTGTGGGGGGTGGTGTGTCTAGTCTCTGTGTGTGGGGGGGTGGTGTGTATAGTATTGTGTGTGGGGGTGGTGTGTATCGTCTTGTGTGTGGGGGGTGGTGTGTATAGTATTGTGTGTGTGGGGGTGGTGTGTCTAGTCTTGTGTGTGGGGGGTGGTGTGTCTAGTATTGTGTGTGGGGGGTGGTGTGTATAGTCTTGTGTGTGGGGGGGTGGTGTGTCTAGTATTGTGTGTGGGGGGGTGGTGTGTCTCGTCTTGTGTGTGGGGGGTGGTGTGTCTAGTCTTGTGTGTGGGGGGTGGTGTGTCTCGTCTTGTTGTGGGGGGTGGGGTGTTCGTCTTGTGTGTGTGGTGTGTGTCCTCGTCTTGTGTGGGGGGGTGGTGTGTCTCGTCTTGTGTGGGGGGGTGGTGTGTCTCGTCTTGTGTGTGGGGGGGTGGTGTGTCTCGTCTTGTGTGGGGGGGTGGTGTGTCTCGTCTTGTGTGTGGGGGGGGTGGTGTGTCTCGTCTTGTGTGTGGGGGGGGTGGTGTGTCTCGTCTTGTGTGTGGGGGGGGTGGTTGTGTCTCGTCTTGTGTGGGGGTGGTGTGTCTCGTCTTGTGTGTGGGGGGTGGTGTGTCTCGTCTTGTGTGTGGGGGGTGGTGTGTCTCGTCTTGTGTGTGGGGGGGTGGTGTGTCTCGTCTTGTGTGTGGGGGGTGGTGTGTCTCGTCTTGTGTGTGGGGGGTGGTGTGTCTCGTCTTGTGTGTGGGGGGTGGTGTGTCTCGTCTTGTGTGTGGGGGGTGGTGTGTCTCGTCTTGTGGGGGGGTGGTGTGTCTCGTCTTGTGTGGGGGGGGGTGGTGTGTCTCGTCTTGTGTGTGGGGGGGTGGTGTGTCTCGTCTTGTGTGTGGGGGGTGGTGTGTCTCGTCTTGTGTGGGGGGGTGGTGTGTCTCGTCTTGTGTGTGTGGGGGGGTGGTGTGTCTCGTCTTGTGTGTGGGGGGTGGTGTGGTCTCGTCTTGTG